TTTCGTGGTCTATGGCTTATCTTAGCTCTGAGAAACGTTTAATTATATATAAGTATAATGTGTATATATGTATAGTAATATTTTTCAGATTAATCATTATTATATATTTACTTTTCAATTGGTTATATTTTAAAGTGGATTTTAAGCGGATACGACGAAGTCTGAAATTATAGACAATAGCAAAATTTGTGCTTTGTGGTATACAATAAAGGCGCACAAAGTGACAAAATAAAGTTGATTTCGTTACTACTTTTCATCCGGCAGCAGCGAAGCCCAAAGGAAAGGAGGGTTATGTGTTTAACCTGTATGTACCTATGAATTTTCATAACACTATGTTCCTTCGTTAAATTGTTGTCACCTTTTTAGTTAGTTTTTTACGCAGTCGGGTTTTTTATATTAACAATTTGCTCATAATTTGCTCCCGACATTTCGAATGCTTTACTACTATTATGGTCACTGGAAAGATGATTGCTGTAAAACATTAAAAACATCGGGAACCAAAAATTAAAACATATCCGCGAAAAAATGGAAAATATAGTTTTATTTAGAATATCAAATCAATTCGCGTAAATCTAAGAAAGTATAAAATGTGAATAATGCGTATATGTATAAAATTTCGTGTCTGACCTATTAACCGTTGAGAAGTTATACAACTAAAGTTAAATATAAGTTTTAAAAATATTTAAAGTGGCTCAAAATTACGAACGTGCTCCTAAATTAAATTTGTGTAATTTTACTGATTATATTAACATACAAATTAAATTAAGATTCCGATAGATTCTGAAAAATGAACAATCAGAATGAGTTTGTAATGCACATGTGGCGCTTTTACATTTTATGAGATATTTACCAAAGAATAGTTCAAAAGTTTGCCTCAGAAGTCAGAATGATATTTATTATTATCTTATAAATAATAAATAAAACCTATTCAGGTTAACAAACATAGCCCGAAGAATAACCCGAATTAATGCTGCCTAATTTCTTTGTATGCGATGGGGCTTTTATACTAGTATAGCATTATGTCATCTGTGATGATACCTTTCCAAAAGGTTTTGTCCTTAATCCTTATGTCCTATCTACTGTTTGCGTACCTTGTATAAAAAAAAGATAAAGGGCTTTTGTTACTGTCGTGTATATCCGGTTTTATGTAATAGCCTCATTTTATCTAATAGTGTAATAGGAAGTGTGTAATAGAAGACACGGCCTTGTTGCCATGGCGCCACGTCTATACGCCAAGAAAAAGTTTCAGGTTGCGTCGACTAAGAGCGAAGGCGACAAAGTACATTGCAAGTGCATTTGCACTAAAAGGCTGATTTGTTTATATTTGAGATTTAATATAATATAGCCAATATTTAAATATTTTTATTAAAAATTAAAATGAATTAATTTGTTGGACTGGCCATATCCATAACACCAATTAGAATATTTTCTATCTATTAAAAGCAACATACACATAGAGTATAAAGTCTTGGTCTATTCTGCTAGGAATATACGTAAAAATGTGGCCAATATACTGCAAAGTTTCATTTCAATCGGTTCGGAAGATCAAAAGGTTTTCGTACTTCTGAGTACATATTATATGCGGTATCTACACTTGCCTTTTAAATGTTTTAGCATAATTAGTATTAGTTCGTCATTATTGTAGTCAGTAACTAACTTCTTATTTATTTCAATGTTTATATCTGGCCACATTTATTTGCAGAATTTTACTTTAATAAAATAAAATTAATAATATTTATAATGATATTATTTACGTTGGTACCAATGATGATATAAATATTGAGTTTATTCTTCAAAGAAGAACACTTATTACATTTATTTGTTAAAGATATAATTCAGATAACCGATTTAATTTTGAATAAAATCGACGGATACTTGTTATTCTCTGTTATATCATTGATACATTATGTAAATATCAGCAAAATAATATTACGCAAGTTTACTTTTGTCACAGCTTTGTAGCGCATTTTTTTTTAATGCAAAGTTGAAATTTTAACAAATATGGCGATATTTAAAATTATACGTGATTAAAATATAGTTTTTATATTTGCATTTGATGGCGTAGTGTATAAACCACAAATACCTATAATATTTCTTACCAATATTACTTGGCAGTTTTCCAAGGTTCCGCACATCTGCCTACAGTATAAATAAAACAAATCCTTGCAATTTATACTGCCCTTAACAGTAAATATATTTGCAGAACTTTATAACAAATATTAAGTGGTAATTCATTTCATATCCATGTACATTGTACATTATTACGTGAGTGTTATTGAAAAGTTAGAGATATTTCATATATTTTTTTTAGATTAATCTGTAATTGCAAAAACATGACAATATGATGTGGAAAAACAAATCGATGTAAAGCTAAAGATAGAACATTAACTCCAATGACAATACATACCATAAATTCAATAAAGTGTATAATATATTATTATACAAGCGTTCATCGTATTCAGGGATTGTATTGTCACAATCTCTTACGTAAAGTAAATTGTTCTTTTGTAAACTAATTAATATTTACTTAAATTAATATGTTTAAATAATGACTTATTAAGCCTAATTAATTAGCGGTATCACTGTTTTTTTAATAAGAAACCTGAATTATAAATAGATAAACGATAATCACCCCAATAACATACTGGATTACAGGTAATAGTGGGGTAGTTATTATTAGGCGATTGTTCAAGCTACACGTGTAAAATCGTAGGTAGAGTGTACTATTTCAGCATCGGGCTTTGGTAGAGTGTGCATTAGGCTCGGTCTACGGTTGCAGCTCGGACTTTTTCAAAGTTGCCTGCACTATATGATAAGAAACCTAAATCTAACTCGGAGTAACTATTAAAAATTAATCCCACTGTCATTATAAATGCGAAAGTCTGTGAGTATATGTTTGTGCATATGTTACGTCTTCGTACTGTAACGATCAACGGATTTGAGTGTTTGGTATAGAGATAGTTTATATCCAGCTGAATTAACACAATAGCTACCTTTTTTATCCACTTAAAACGCGAGCGGAGTCGCGGGTGAAAACTAGTACAATCATATAATATTATGCATCAATCTAACAGGTAGGTTAATTTGTTTTTCTTAAAAAAGCTTTTGGCTTTATGATAAATTTAATAATGACTGAAAAATAATTATATTTTTAGAGTGTAAATAAATCCTTGTTGGTAATGTATCAAACAACGGTAACAACAGTTAATTCCTGTTTTAGTTACATTTAATAGATAAGAGTCATGAGCGCAATCCTTAGAATATCTTTTATTGATACTATGATAAAATATCAGCCGGCTACTGATGTTCGCGTTAGTTGTAAGTGCGTGAACATACGAACAAAACATATTTACTAATTATTTGTGCTGCCTTGTTTTTATTGTTTTGTACTTAGTCAGTGATTTTTTTCAATTCAATTATTTTACAAATCATAGTTTCTTACGATTTTTACAAATAAATTCATTAGCAAGATAAATAATAAAAGGCATAAATTAGGTATATTCTTATAATTTAAATGTAAGTAGATTTTTAGGTACAATTTTTGTCATTATGTGCATTTATATTATAGTCTTAGTTATATAATTTTAGAACAATGATTGATATTGACTTAAAAATTTTATAATTTTGCTTTTTACATCTATATTTTGATTTAATTTTTTTAATTGTAATGACAAGAAGTTTACTAAATATACTGATAATGACAAGTGTTTACTCTGAATCCCTTTGCCTTATCGTGGAGTAAATTTCGTTGTGAAATTACAGTTATAGAAATGCATTATTTGAGTGATGGTGTAATTTTCCATGAAGTCCCTAATGGTTTTATTTTTTAGGAATTGTGGTTAGTTTTTTTTTTGAAAATAATTTTATGGCAAGCAGTGAGAACGACGTGCTAGAAGAACGAGTTTAAATATTATTTAAACTTCCATGTAACTTCCATACCTAACTTTAAAACCTTTAATGAAGGAATTATTATAATCAGAAACTTGTAGCTCTTACCTACATTTTATAAAGAACTCGCGTGAATGGAAAGGAGAATTTCTTACGTCTAAACACAGTGTCGTACACTGTCTTACGTCTGTTGTCTGTCAGTGATAGAATGAATGAATATAGATTTTTTTTATTTTGTAGATTATTTCTTGTTACTTTTAAACTCACTTAGTATCTATCAATATATTTACAACCAAAATATTAGATAATCATGTAGATTTTTTTGCGTATGGGATGAATGAGAAAGTTATCAGATGCTCTTTACACTCTCCTACGGGAAAAAGAGAGGAGTAATACTTAATGTTCCATTTCATATAACTATTTATTTTTGTACTTTTATGAATCTTATATCTCTTCGAATAGTTGTAGCCATAAGTACGAGTATAATTAGCGTATCAAATATTGTCTTACTTTTGACGTAAATGTACTATAAGAATAAATCTCATTCATACGTATACGTACACAAAGTACAGTAACTTTGAAACTTCTGGCATTATCCCTTTTTACACATCTTTACTTAATATTATACTAGCGACTTCCCCTTGCTTCGCTCGGGAGCGAAGAGTTCCTTAGAGATACCATTAATCTATTACTATTTAAGAACGCATAGAGGACCAATACACAAAGAAAAGATATTTTTTTTTATATAGATGAAGCTAATCACATTTAGTAATTAAATGTAATTATTATTTTTTGGTTAGTTATATAATATGCATAATATATCTGCTCCTTGGGCATTTTAATAAATATTTATTTCTTTTGTTTCAGGGTTGAAAGTTAAATAATCAAAAATAAGGTGTTATATACCCAGCATTAGAGCAAAGCCAAATGCAGACTCCGAGCCCAACTGTCGGAGAGTTACAAGAACCGTGAACACCGGCCGAGAAAACATTTTTGATGGTCGCTCTGCTTTTGGAAAAGATCATCTACACGCTCTGTCACTTCATTGTTATTAAATTCCTTAACATATTTTTTATTTTATAACTTATATATTCTTTATTCTGTAGAGCAAAATGAGCAAAACACTGAAAGTGGTAGGAGCCTCATGGCTCCAAACAAAAATTAGCTCTTATATTTTGGGTTTCTTGGGGATCCTAGCCATTCTCGCGCTCTTTGTAGGACAAATGGAAAGGTAATTATTAAAATTAAACTGTATTTGTATATATTATAACTAAGCTTTGATATTTATGACACTAAGTAACCTCTAATTCTTTCAGTGTCGTGTATATAGAGATAAGATTTTTATAATGCCTATATTCTTAGAAATGTGTGATATATAAAATAAAACTCTTATCTATTTTTATATTTTCATTTAAATTTAATATTAAAAGAAAGGTACTCAGAATCTGGATCTGGAAACTCAGAATCGTTACCATTAAAGTATGCGTGCGATATCTTCTAGGTTTTTATAATATATAATTTCGCCCGCGAATTCGACAGCTTTGTTCCTTTTGGAGTCGTGGTGTAATTTAAGATATTATTTTATTTACTAAATAATCTATAAAATGTTAAAAGATATTTTTACTTCTGATTAATACTTCGACAGATAAGCGCGTGTACAAACAAACAAAAAATCTCCGTAGGTATTTCTTCTTTATAATATTTAGCATTATAACTTTTCGTAAAAAATATAAATTACATTTTTAAGGTTTACACTGTAGTAAAATCTCAATTTACATGAAGAGGCTTACAAAACAAATTTCACTCTGTTTTTCGATTACTATAGGCTTACATTTCATTTACGTCACATCCTTACAAACTGTAAATGTTCTAAGATTTATTATACTATCCTGTACATGATAATATTTTTACCGTTTGAATAAAATTTATATTTGTTATTACATCCAATGCTCGTTGATGTTTCCAAGTTATTATAAAACACATGATGACGGAGTATTTTGATTTGGGTTTTTCGTTTATTTAATAACCATTTTGTTTTTTGTATACAAAAAATACTTATTTAGGTACATACTTGTAAACATAATCAACAATATCACTTTTATAATAGTTCCATTAAAAATATTTGCTTAAACGTTGGGTTAATGGATATTATACCTAACTAACATTGCCCGCGGCTCCGGCCGCGTTCAGATGACCAAAAACCAAATTTTTAAGTTTTACATATTAGTATATTCTTACATTGCAATTTTTGTATTTTTCTCAGAAATGACATATTTTCTCGCGCTAAAATGTAGCATGTATGTTGACCCGGATAACCAGCTATCACCATTCCAAATTTCATCAAAATCCCTCCAGTGGCTTTTTCGTGATGCGGTAACATACAGACAGACAGACAAACATTCTAAAAACTGTTGATTCGGCCTCTGTATCGAAAATAATGTCTATTTTAATAAGATTTTCCAAAAAATAATTAATAAACAAATTCGGTTTAGTTAGAATTTTATTATATGTAGATAAGTACATACTAGTAATTACTATAAGTATTTTTAATAAAATGTGTCAAGTTAGGTTAATAGAGAAGTTTAATGACCTGTATTTATACATTGATAAATAAATAAATTACATCATACGAAAATTAATTGAATTATACACTTCATACCAAAAATACGTAATCTTAACTGTTAATTTCTGCTTTAGAATCCAGGAAGACGGAAACTACGCAGCAACTGTGTTCTATTCAGAGAAAACCGGATATCGCATTGAGTACTGGGGTCAGAGCAACGATCTAAAGGATATTGCAAAAGGAGTGGCTCGAGCCTACTTCAGAGGAGACGTTGATACAACAGGGTCAGTACTTATAATTTGTTTATTTTTATATAGATACTATAAATGATAAGTATAATATTAAGTATATAAAACTTCTCGACATGGCAACTGTAGTATAACAGAGTATGAACTTAGTTCATACTTTTAATTTATTACCTATAAAATATCAACGGAAACAAAATTTTATTTGCAGTTGGTCGCTTCTTGAAATTGAAACAGATGGATCATACCCTGACGAGATACAAGCTTATGCAGCGGGTATAGTCGAAGGTGCTCTTACATGGTACCTAATACATACCCATCTTGAGAACACTATAAGAGCAAAATGTGAAGATCAGCCTTTAGAAAAACAATGCGATAAACTACGAGATGCATTAGACAAATCAGCAAATATCCATAAAACGTATGCTGCGGAGCGAAGTGCAAGTGACCCCTTCTGGCATCATGTGAGTATGAAACTTAGTATTCCACATTTGCCCCCATTACTATTTAATTTATCATTTCAATACAATATTTATCCTTATTCTTCTACGATCGTAGAATGACATCTTCTCTAAGCCCCATATATTCTGAGCACGTTTCGTTCCTTGTTTATTTATAAGTAAATGATTTACAAGTATCTTTCATTTTTTTAACTATATATAAATTAGATACATACTTTAACCTAACATTATTTAAATAATGTTAGGTTAAAGTACTTTTTCTTTCTTTTTTCAACGATAGATTTGTTCTACGTGCTTTATTATAAGCATTCTCAGATTTTATAATATTATTATGATCACGTAAGTTTATTGAAATGAAATGAAAATCCGTGTTTTGTTGAACATTGTATGTATGTACCATATTGTTATCAGTTTTAGCAATAACTTACGTACCTAAAGGTAATTCTAATAAAGGTTTTCTGGCTATTCATATTGTTATCTATGTTAAACTAAGAGTAAATCGTTTTTAAGGTTTATATTTATTATAAAATAAGCCGTTTTACCTAAAATAAGAAATTAAAATTTGTAAGCAAATTCCAAAAATAATTGAAACTTTTATCGGATTTTTCCGGTATTTTCACATGCTCAAAAAATTACAAAAAGTGCCATAGACTTGTTATTTCCACAAAATAAAATATTCTAGAGAAAAGGAGATATCATATTTTATGTGTTTGTCACTGTAACTGGAGTTACAGTTTGTCACTGTAATTGGATATAGTATATTGGACATATGTACATATGATTCACAGCTATTACTAAGCTAGTAGATATTAGAAGGTAAATATGAGTAATATTCAAAAATAATTAATTTTAATATATGTTAACAGGTCTCATTACATTACACGCAAATCGGAGGAATTTATACTGGTTGGAAACATGGGGTAAATCGTAGTATGACTGAATACAAAACTGATATATCCGACTTGTACTGGTTAAATTCAATAACTGAAATAGCCGAATTACAACACAAACTTAATATTTCTATCGAAAATTCCGAATTAGATGATATCCCTGGTCTGTCAAGTGCATTTTTGAGAATTGTAAATGAAACACTTGAGGACGGAACAAACATTAAGAAGTTGTTCGTCGCACAGGATGTCGAAGGGAGGTGAGTGTGTAACAATAGAACAATAGGCGTAACTTACTTTGTTTTATGTATGAGGACTAAAGTACTTTTAGTTTACAATAAATATTTAAAAATATAGTGGTATATTTAGAGTTGAACTATTATTTCTTACTTGAGAAATTTGTTTTTCAGTTATTCATCAATGACTAGGATCATGAAGAGGTATAAATTAAATTATCATAAAACATCAAAGGATTCTACTCCTGTCCCTGGAATATCAGTCGATTTTTCAAGTTATCCTGGTTCTATAACAAGTCAAGACGAATTTTACGTTATCAATGGTGACAACCTTCGTTTAGCTGTTACAGGGACGTCTTTAAAAAACTACAACAGCAAATTGTGGAAGAATGTCAATATTACTACACAGGTAACAAAATTTAACGTTATTATTAAAATAAGTTCTTTGTATAGCTAATAAGTCTGTTTAACGTTGACAATAGATTTAGAGTAGTAATTTGTTTATATAGCTTGACCTATTTCCTCAGGTTCCCATAGGTCCTCGAATAACAGCAGCTAATCATCTAGCGTCAAACATCAACTCTTGGGGACATATCCTGGCTCGTAGTAACTCTGGCACCGGATGCAAACAATGGCTTGTTGTAGATTTCAACAAATTTAATCTTATAATGAACGTCACTGAAGATTCAATTTCATCTATGACTCCTAAAAAGGAAACCATGACCGAAAGTATGATTAATAAGTAAGTAGTTATAAATACTTGTAAGTTTTCTTAATTATTTCAATTAATATAATAACATTTCAAGTATAAATATATATTTTCAATCGAAAACGTAATGCATATGAGGAAGCGAATTAACGGCATTTATTGACTCGCCTTCGAAGAAACACATCAACAAATGGCAGCTGTTATCACATCAATCTTAATTATGTCTGCCATTATATCCCAGATGCGCATCTGTTTAGGAATTTTCATGATCAACATAAGCCACTCACTCACTTTTCAAACACTGATAACGATTTATGATATGAAATCAGATAAATATTACATCATATTGATATTATACTTATTAATATTAATAATGTGTGGTGAAAATAATGTTATAATACGAGGTTGGGATTAAAAGTTCCATTTTTTTCCTATTATATTATCTAGTATTCTATAAACTGTATAATTTTCATACTAGATATTATTAATAGAATCATTATATTTGGCTATAGATTTACAATAACTGAGAATGAGGTCTTATTTGCCTTGAAAATATTCGGTAATATATTTTAAGTAAAAAAAGATTTCTTGATATAATAATAATCTTTATATATCATTTGTTACAGTGACATAAAACATACCATAGTCCATCGTGCAGGATCTGGACGTGTGAAGGGATTGCTCTGGCTTATCGAACAGATTCCAGGAAGAACACATTCGGCTGATTTATCTGATGCATTTTTAGAGAAAACGTATTGGGCAACCTTTGGACTACCGTTCTTTGTGGTATGTATGAATATAATAAATGCATATGTATAGGATAAAAATACCTTGTTTATTTTTTTACTTACCTTATGTACAACTTAATTTGATTTATTTTGATATTTAACTTATTTTAAGTGTAAATTAATATTAAATTAAAAGTATTTCACCAATTTTTTTGCTGCAGGATATCGCAAATGATACGCATGTACTTAAAATGGAAGAAATGTATGGGAGGATATTTTCGGAGTCTACATCACTTAGAGCAACTTTATTTCAAGATGGATATAAAAATGCAACAACATTAGAATCAATAATAAAATTGATGAGAAAAAATAACATTACAGCAGAGACCAATACCAGTGATAGTGTTGATTGTAATGATGATGAAAACTGTATACTTAAAGATGCTGAATATTGGTCAGTTCTTGGAGTTAGGGGAGATATTGCTAATATATACAAAGAACCTTATGGCATTATTGATACTAAAGTTGTTACTGGTAAGAATAAATATGTATTCATGATATACTTATAATATTTTTAATTTTTAATCGTTGCCCGTATTTCACTGTCACAAAGTTTATTGTTCGACTTCTTTAAATTCAGTATAAACCAAGTTCCAAACTTATGTTGACAAAACAGTTACGTATGTATTTGTTATAAAACTAATAAAAATATTTATTTATCCTTAGGTTCATCAGATACTACATCCTTAGATTTTATCGCGATTTCCAGTCCACCATTCACTGAAGTTACGAACATGACGGAAGTCCAAATAAACAAAGGCAACGTCGCCACCATATACACAAATCAGTTTGATGACGTCCCCACGATAAATGGTCTAGAAATTAGAGATCTCGTTAAACAACAACAAGAAGAAGCTGTAAAAGAAACTATAGAGCTACTTAACAAAAATGCTGTAAAACCTTTTCAGTGGTCAGAAAGTGAATTTAAAGATGAAGCTCATGAAGGTTTACCGGATCTGTGGAATTTTGGTCCTTTCAGACCCAATTGGTCATGGTGAATCCCCACATAGCTGTTAACCACTTTATTTTATTGTTGTACATCCCTATGTTCTTTTAAAAGTGTGATTTCTTAAAATAAGTTTTTACAATAAAATAAAATGTCCGTCCATCAAAATAATTTTCAAGAGTAATAGTTCCAAGATAGATAAAAATACGATTTTTTAATTAAGAGCTTATGTTGTTTTAATATCATTTATGTTTTAAATGTTTATTTATTATTTTGTGCTGTCTTGTCCTTTTTTAAATAATGCTAACTAGTACATCGTGACTCATACATAATTATATTAAATTAATAAAGTAAAAGTCATAATATATGTTTATATATGTATGTGTTATGAATAAAATGTCGACTGAATCTTAGTTCTGAAAATGTGTTCTTTATTCACAAAAAAAAACTTTTTCTTGCTTATGAATACTAATAATAAAAATGAAGTGACATAATATTATTTATGAAGAAACATTTTCATTTTTCTTTCGAAATAAATGCTCCATAAATGAAAAAAATGTTTTATTCAAGTACCTTTTACTGCCCCTGTATAAATAAGAGAAGACCAACCTTACTACATAGTACATACTGTCACTCCTAATCAAACTAAAAACATTTTCATGTAAAATGTTGCCAAGACGAGACCATATGGTTCTCATTGTCAAAAAGTTATCAGATCTCATGTAGAGCCAAGCTTCTAACTCTACACGCCATAACGTTACAAGCCCTAACTTCACAAACTCTGCACCTTATTCAAAATATATGACTTGGCCGTATCGTTACTACAAAAACTATTGTATAACAGAAAAGTACTTAATGTATAGTGAATAAATTTTTCACCTTACACTCATGTAACGGTAGGGAAACAGCCAAGCCACATATTTTGAATAAGGTGTAGAGTCTGTTAAGTCAGGGCGTGTAGAGTTAGAAGATGGCTCTACATGAGATCTGATAACTTTTTGACAGTGCGAACCATATGGTCTCGTCTTGGCAATATTTTACATGTGAATGTTTTTAGTTTGATTTCGCTTCTTTTTGTAAGTGTTTACTAAAAATCCTGAAATATGTATTTTATTATTTATAACAAGAAGTCCCTATATCAATTTTCAGACCTCTAGCATCAAAATTTGCGGAAGTCTCATAGAAACTTCCATCTCCTAGTTTAAGGGGTTGTGGGGTAAAAGTTCCAATTTTTGTCCCAGAAAAATCTGCAGTTCCCGTGGAATAGATTTCTTTTTGATTTTCTAGAGGCGAACCCGTGCGAAGCGAGGGTGAGGCGCTAGTAATATACTCGTAAATGCGAAAGTTTGGGTGGATGTTTCTTACTTAATCACAACAGAACGGATGAACGGACCTGGATGAAATTTGGCACAGAGATAGATTATAGTCTGGAATAGCATATAGATAGGTTATTTATAATAATCCGGAAAAATATACGGGATAGAGTTGTTTTTGTTTTTCACTAGGAACGAACCCAAGCGAAGCAAGGGTGAGTCGCTAGTTGTTTATAAAATTAAAAACATTAATTACTGTATAAACAACATAATAACATGAAAGCAACATTTATGTGATACTGATGGAAATTTAGAAGTACCATAGTCTACTAATCCATACAATCGTTTAACAAGGCATAATATATACAGAGCGAAAAACGTCATAGAGTGTTAAAATTGTAACTTCAGTTCGAAACGGACGAACCGTCTATGAAAATTGTTTTTTTTGGCAGCCCCGTAGGTACTTTAAATTACTATATTGGTACTTTTGGTACACTTCAATTCTCAAAGACAATAAATTAAATACCTACTGACAGCTGACACTAACATCATAGGCATTATTGTATATAAGTGTATAATCTATGGGCATTATTGCTATTTCCTGCTGACAATTGACATTTGACAAATGACAATTTATTTATTTACGAAATATTAGTCACTATTTTTTCGTATCAATTTTTTATATTGATTTTAAATTTTATTATTTGAAAAAACTGACGTAAATTTTGACTATGAACTTCTTTAAGACACCTACACCTAAAGGTAAAATAGATATTATGTACTAATGATATATACATTTTTTTACATTTATATGAAAAAGAATTAATATTTAAACAAACATGTTTTATACATTTTAGAACAACAACGACAAAATGATCGTGAACTTCGTAAAGCAAAAAGGGATTTGGACAGAGATAAATTAGCTTTAGAAAGAGAAGAAAAGAAATTGGTATATTCATTCTTATTGCACAATTTTAGACTCATTTAAGTCTATTTTCATATGTTACGAGATTTTAATTTAAAAAATATATTATTCTAGGAAATGGAAATAAAAAAGATGGCAAAAGAAGGAGATAAAGATGGCTGTAAAATACTTGCTAAACAGTTAGTGCAGTTAAGGAACCAAAAAACTAGGTTATATTCAGCTAATAGTAAGGTAGGCATATTATTGACATAATTAAACGATATATTAACGTAATAATAAATTCTATAGATGTAACAACATATTCAATATTTATTGCTTTATAAACTTTTCTCCAATAAGTGTATTTATTTACAGATTTCAAGTGTTCAAATACACAATAAAGCTATGGTTGCCAATGTAGCTATAGCTGGTGCAATGGGCACCACAGCTAAGACTATGGGTAATATCAATAAAATCTTGAATCCACAACAAATTGCAAAAGATATGGAATCATTTAAATATGCTAGTGCTAAAATGGATATGACTGATGATATCAGTAAGTTTCTTTTATTATAGTTTAATTGATTTTACTTTAAACATAAAGATTAAAGTCATGATATAGTATATTGTTTTTGTATTGATGTATACTGTATATTTTTATAGCACAAATACATATATTTTTATACCTATCACAAATTATTTTTTAAATATGTAGATACATTCCAACTTTTCATATTAATATATTCTTTCTTATTAGTTTCAGATACTTTAGATGATATAATGACAGAATCTGGCGATGAAGAAGAGTCTGAGGGTATTGTGAACAAAGTGTTGGATGAAATAGGCATTGAAATTAGTGGAAAAGTAATTTAGTTTTTAATATTATATATATAAAGACAAATTAACATAGATAATTCTGAAAGACTGATAGACAATACTAACTTAAAATTTATTCCATGGCCTCATCCCACATTATGTGGAGTTGATATAATATGTTCCTTATTCCATGTCCTCTATCCGGGAGTAGTGCTGAAATAGCATTCCCATCTTTTAATCAAACAGTCCGTTACAGGCTAACCACATCCATAAAATATTCATCCCATTCCATCCATCCACATTCATAAAATATTGATTTATTTTTTGTTTATTTAAATTTACATAATATTTGTTTACACACTAATCAAGACACAAGCAGTGCAACAAAAACCATGTATGATTTTCCTGTGCACTGCAGATTCATATGCTAAATTTATGTATTCTAAGTATAAAATATCAATTTAGCCTAATTATTGTGATATTAAGGTGAATATCCCATTACTGCACGGATCTCAATGCAATTTGGCACAGATGTAGATTATAGTCTGGAATAGCACATAGCTTACTTTTTATCCTGAAATAATGTAAGGTTCCCATGGGATAGATAAGTTTTTGTGTTTCACTAGGTACAAACAGAATAAAGAATATTATGTGGTTTAATTTCTCAGTACTAAACAGTAAAAGGGAATAAGGAGTCATATCATTCTTACTATTTAACATATCCAAGAGACCTATAAATGAAAAAAATACTGTCCATGTATTAATATTATTTTTTATTTTTCAGATCGCAAATGCACCTTCAGTGGCACGTAACAAAGTCGGTGAATCGACCTCTGATATCGATAAGGAACTTATGGCGCAATTAACTAAATTGAAGTCATAAAAATATTAAAAAAAAATATTCCATCCATCCAAAATGTAAAATAAGAGATTTAGTATTTTTTAAATTAGTCTTTTATTAAGGTTGTTATATAAGGAAGACTGAGTTCAGTAGTCATTGGGCTTTTTTACTCTGAAGAATTATTGAGCTCTTTTACACTTGAAATAAAAATATAAGCCCAAATTCAAATTATTGTACATTATAAAACGATAGACAATGTTTGGACTTGGACGTCCCACTTTCAAATATCAATTGTTTTATTCATTTAAATAATATATGTTTTTTTTTCTATTTCATTCTAAATCAATTACTAACCTATTATATGTAAATAAGAGTAACACAATCACAAGGTGTTTATTTTCCAAATTTTACCATATTTTTACTTTTATATTCTTAAGATTACTGTATTTTCTGTAATATAATATTAATAATTGAGGTGCTTTGGAAGAAATAAATAATATGGGTAACTGCTATAATCTTATTATTTGTTATTCATAGTCATACACATAGACTTAAATATGAACTCGAATCAATGTTTACTTATGTAATTATTACAATTATCTAACTACTATTACTGTCTAATTTAACTGTAAAATTATAACAATAATATATTAGCGACTTATCCTCGCTTCGCTCCGGTATGTTTTATATTTTTGGAAAAGAAAACTAATTCATTTTTTTAAATAAAAGTAGCCTAAGTTACTCCTTATAACATCAGCTATTTTGCCATTGGAAGCCCAATCAAAATCAGTCGAGCCGTTTCGGAGATTAGCCGGAACAAACAGACAAAGTTTTTAAAAATTGTTTTTTTTTTATTGCACTGGACATAATTTCATATGCATTTAGTAAAAAGATATTATTTTGACATTACAAATTGCGGTCATACTATGTATGGTCAATTGCACAATAGGTAGGCGCTACTTGATCACTTTTTAATTTGATTTAAATGAAAATTTAACATTTGCTAAACATAAATTTAGGACATTTAAATTAAATTAAGAATTAGGCATTAAGACCCGCTTTTAAAATGACCATGTTCCCGCTTTTATGGCATCAAGTGGATTAGTTTTCATGAAAATTACGCAGTACTTATCAAAAAGTATTTCATGGATATGAATCAATGGATTTATTTGATTTGAATAGTACATGACGTAAAGTTCAGATTATGAAAAAAATAAACATGCTATATATACAGAAAAGAACTACGCTCAACACGGAACAAGGAAAAAATTGTTTTAATATATCTCATTAGATGGCACTAATTAATGTGTCGATTTTTTTTGAAGTTTGTGTAAAATCTTAGGTTGTATAGTAGTTTTAAAAGTAGGTACTCCTTAGTGAAGGAAAACGTAACTATAATGATCATCAATTATAAAAAAAATTAACCGTTAAGAAATTGGTTTCTAGTTCATATACTTAGATGGCGCTTTTATTGTTTGTTTCACAGTCAAAGACAGCATGCGGTCGGATGAAGAAAAATTAGTTCAAATAAATGTCAATAGATGGCATTATATGTTTCGATTTTTTTATTGAAGTTTTTGTAAAATAAGTAAAAAATAAAAAAATACCCAAGAAAGTATATTGTGGTCTTATTAGTAAATTATTCTCTAAGTAAACGAAAATGAAAATGCGCTCGTAAATCATCCTTTCGCATTTTAGAAATAGACAAACAAACAGACAAATTTTTTAATATATATTTTTGTTGGGTCTATCTATATTCTGTGCACAATACGGTACAGTCATTGTTTTTTCTTAAACATGTACAAATTTAGCTAAGTTACTGTTTTATTATAGGTATGTAGGTATATTGTATAGATTTAGATATTACTTATAAGTTATATTGTTGTTATAAGCACTAGATATATATGTATATAAGCAATAGCAATAGCACTAGCAACTTTTCCTTATACTTAAACTGTTAATTTCGTTTCGTGCTAAAAATAGTTAGGTATATAGTATAAATAAATGGTGAGGTATGTTTACTATAGGCTTATGCTAAGTCATTAACCAATTTAGTGCATTAAAATTCAAGAGCCACCACCATCGTTTACATTTAATATTTCACGCCTTGTTTGTCGATTCGATACAAATAGCCTATATAAGCTCTAATCATTTGTTAGCTTCAAGCATTTTCCACAGTATTTTGAAAACAAATCGTGCTATTATGATACCTGATCATCTATTTGACGAGGGTATTACTACCTCGTTATTGCGAAATGATATGAAACATGTTCAGTTGAACAGAATAGTTTTTGAAAAAACTCAGAAAGATTACGTAAGTAAATTTTCTTTTAATACCCAGTTCATTCTTTCATTGAACTTGTTTTTCAGCTTGTACATCCCTTAATAGGCCAGGTCACCAGGATAGGTAAGTCTATCAATCATATCAAGTAATATCTTTAGTACTCGGATCGAGTTTGAAACCCGCTGCGTCACCCAATACTTAGTCACAATAATTTAACAAATTTAGAAAAGGGGCACTAGTCGCTTGTCAAAGGAATTTATTGCTAAACTAGCGACTCTTCCTCACTTCGCTCGAGTTCGTCCCTAGGTACGTTTTAACGGTTTGTATAAAATACAAATCTTTGATTTTCTTGGCGTTTTAGTATTATAATATGCATGTATTATACATATAAACCTTACTCTTGAATCACTCTATCTATTAAAAAAAGCGCATCAAATCTACTATCAGAGAAGTACCAGGAGCAACCCGCATGGTACACCGCCCACCGAAGAGGGCCACCTCCCACCGCCCACCGAAGTGGGCCACCTCCCTGTGCGTTTCTTGGCTTCGCGCCCGGCTGTATTGCCGGGCACTACTGAGCCCCCCCACCACGACAAGGTAAATGCACGTTGGGGGGGAAGTACTTTATATACCTACCTACGCTTAAGTTCGAAAGTGTAACTTATATGAACGGAGCGAACATGGCTCAGCTCACAACTGTTCAAAGACTAGATTTTTTAGAATGTAACAAACATGCACGGAGCATAAAAAGACTGAACAGATTTTGATAAAATTAAGTATACTGAGTGTTAGGCAACTAGGGACATATTATCCGAGAGAAGCGAGAATAAGTCGCTAAAATTTATTTGTTTACAATGAAATCACAATATAAAAAAATGTTCGCAGGAACGGGAGCAGCGTAATTTACTATCATCTCAAGATGGTGACACTTGTGAGATCCATGATCAGTTCTATAGAGATCATAAACTACTACTGGTTTTGTTTAGAGCACTGGCAGTTATGCCTATAACGCGGTCTCGGCCCGGTATGTGAAGCTTACTATTTTAAAATATAAAACGATAACAAGATGAGGATATTTTTTTTACTTTTACTTCCTTTTTTTCTAAAAAATAAGCCAATAACAAAAATAAACTTTTGTTAAGATGCACTTTTTACTGAAGCACTGAATGTTATAAAACAAAAGGTTCTCTGGATACACTGTTGGGTTATAATGTTATAACTTATAATGTTTATCATACCCAGCTTTAATCTAACCTACTCAATCGTTCCTAGTATACCTATACATAAAATCCTATAGTACTTTTTGAGACAGTTCCGTCAAATGTTTTAGGTTTATGTTATCAAGTAAAACTAAACAATTATTACATATATTCTTGTACATTCAAAAAAGGCTAAAATATTTTTTTTTTGGAAAGTATAAAAAAATGATTAAATAAAAATTATTCTTATAGGTACAATTACATTCAGCTGGAAATCCCGTGCTACGGCATACGCTATATTTTTTTATATAATTACCACGATTATCGTATTAATCGTCGGCTACGAACGTATTATGATATTGCGTTCTATTAAAAAATTTGACGACTATATTTATTCCATACTTTTTGTGGCGTTCCTCGTCCCGCACTTTTGGATCCCATTCGTCGGATGGGGCGTCGCCCATCAAGTTGCCATTTATAAAACGAATTGGGGAAAGTTCCAAGTAAGAGCCAAAAATTTTTTACATTGTTAAGTTACTTTGTACTAAACTTACTTATCGCTGAATATACGTGACAACGTGACTTAACTTTATGAAGGCCTATATTAGAAACAGTACCTACGTGTTCGATCTCTTACTACTATAGCTACAACACTATTTTAATTATTCTATAACATATTTGTCTAATATTTTCTTACTTTACAGGTGAGATACTATCGAGTTACAGGTCAGAATTTAAAATTTCCAAAATTAAAAACCACGATTGTCATAATAAGCGTGGGCTGTTTGTTGCTGGCCATTTGTTTTCTTCTCAGTCTGTGTGCTTTATTGGATGGATTTTTACTTCGACACACTACAGCGTATTACCATATAATTACGATGATTAACATGAACTGCGCCCTTTGGTATATAAACTGCAGAGGGATCAAGGTTGCCTCTCAAAGCCTTTCGGAATGTTTTCGGAGGGTAATGTTTAAATAACATTAGATACGAATGATAGATAGATGTTATAATACATGCGTGTATGTTAGGTACATTATATAAATTAGAATTGACAGATAATGAAAATGAGATATCACCTCCAGGTAAATTTCTAAGAAATTAATTAAATTTCTAAGAAATTTGTTGTTAACTGTAAAGCCGGCGTGTCCGCGGTCGTGGAGGGAATATTTATCTGTGTACCTGATTTTTATCAAGAATTGTATTTTTCTTAATTCATACCCCATACAATATATGTACATACTCGTACATATGTATGTGTGGTTCATAAATACGAATTTGTTTTTATTATGCAAACCTATATTTCAAATAAAATTTCCGTTTTAAATCCTTTTTTAGGATGTCAGTGTAGAATGCACAGCAAGTCTGATATCAAGTTATCGCTTCTTGTGGCTAAATCTATCTGAGTTATTGCAATCCCTTGGAAACGCCTACGCTCGGACATATTCTACTTACTGTCTTTTTATGTATGTATCACACATGATTTGTATTACGTGTCATATTGAACGACCTTTTGTCTTTTATTTTATATCGTCAGTTTTAGTTTTGAGAAGGCCAACGAAAAAATTCATTAAATTACACTTTTCTTACCCAAACGCCGACGTTGAATTTTTATTTATACTTATACTTTTTGTAACATATACGTTATATATAGAGGTATAGACTTATTTGTGTGGGGTCTAGGTTCTTTAATATCACAATTGCGGTGTACGGAGCGCTATCTGAGATTGTTGATCACGGTTTCGGATTCAGCTTTAAGGAGATGGGCCTGTTTGTTGACACACTGTACTGCTCAACTTTGCTCTTTATCTTCGCAGACTGCTCTCATAAGTCTACACTTAAAGTAAGAAATTATTACTATACTTCTACTCTATACCTATATTTTTTTAATTCAAGACTAAAGATATTGACTCTTTGGGGTGGAATGTTAGTATATTATATGCTGTATTATATTCTGTGTGAACGTACATATGTGCGTAATATGTAGGAGGAGCCCAAAACTCTATTTCTTTGTTTATTTTTATCCTTGTACTGAATGATTGCTGTTATGGCCGATTTTTTTTAACCAAATAGAGATTGATAAATTTATATGACCAATAAGTGTTTATATCATCTAGGAATCACACCTGCGATCATCTGTGCATGAGGTAGTGCCAGTCGAACTAGCACCAAATGCAATAATCTTTAATCACCAATTTCGATAATCTATACATATAAATAAAGTTGTAACTAAGCCGAATCTGTACATTAAATATTTTTTGGAAAATCTTATTAAAATAAACATTATTATCGATACAGAGGCCGAATCTATAGTTTTTAAAATTTTTGTCTGTATGTCTGTCTGTTACCGCATCACAGAAAAATCACTGGAGGGATTTTGTTGAAATTTGGTATAGTGATAGCTGGTTATCCGGGTCAACATATAGAATACTTTTTACCGCGTGAAAATGTCTCATTTCTGAGAAAAACACATAAACTGCAATGTAAGAGTATACTAATATGTAAAACCTAAGACTTTCGTTTTTGGTCATCTGAAAGCGGGCGGAGCCGCGGGCAATGCTAGTTTCAATATAATAATTAATTATTAATTTTTCAGATATTTTCAGGACCCGCGTAATGTTACAAATAGTTAATCATAAGTGTGACTGAGCAAAGGCCTCACTACGAATTTAATAAAAATATTTGATAATACATATGTACTATATTCATATCAACTAATTTATATTGCACGAATTAATTAATATCACTTGAATTTTTGCACTATAATGATCAAAATTATTGCTTTAAATTTGTTCAAGAGGAGACAGTTTGTGCGGCTTCTACTACCCTGAACTAATTTAAGAAGTTTACTTGAGAACTTATATCTGCATTAGTGCATAACTAAATTAAGACAGTACTTAGATGCGTGATATTTATGATATGAAACTACGAACTTTATAATACGGAGTACATACATGCATTTATTGTAAATTCTAAATGATGTTAGGAAATCAACAGAATTTTGATTTATTTTTATGGTGCTCAGTGATAAACGAACAGATAGGCCAATCCACCTGATGGAAAGTGTTACCTGTCGCCCTTAGCACCTGCGGTTCACAAAAATGCAAAACCGAGTGCGTTGTCACTGTGAGGACCCATACAGTCGGACTCTTCACGCTTGACATAGTACTACCATCGGTTGATGAGTTAGGTTGTAGACTATCAACATATGAATAGAGTAAATCGTAGCTTTAGGCGCTCTACACGATCACGCGTATGTATGTGCGACGCTAAAGCTAAAATGTAACCTGGGTCTAAAATAATATCTCTAATCTGATCATTTTATGTATTTGATAAATCATTTAAATATTTATATAACATTATGTAACAGGTAGCAGCTGGAGTACAAGACACGCTTCTATCAATAGATGTTCTATCTGTGGATCGACCTACTCAGAAAGAGGTTTATATATATTTTCTAACAGTAATATACGTACATTACAGAAATATCATATGCTTATAGAATGACATAAATAATGATTCTGAGGTTTTATTTCCCGGCAGATCGATCACTTTATACAGGCTATAGAGATGAATCCAGCAGTGGTAAGCTTAAAAGGTTATGCTCATGTCAATCGAGAACTTTTAACATCTGTAAGTACTAATGATATTTATTTCTTTGTGGTATCAATAATATCACATTTTATTTATTTAGTTATTACAGAAAATAGAATAAATCAGTCAAATAGGGAGTCGACACAAAATACATTTCTTTTATGGATAATTTAATTTATAATCTAATTTATGAGTGCTTTGGATACATTGAATATTGCACTGATACATAAGATGCACTCGTAATTAGTGCACCTTATGCTTTATCACCTCTCTCTCCCTCCCCCTTTCTTTCTCTCTCTCTCCCTCCCTCGCTCTCTTTCTTACACAAATGCACACACTTTTATGTACCAAGTTAAGTAATGGGTCATTTTAATAAATTAATTATATTTAGTAATTAATATTATATTAAGTTAGTTTGATTACTTATGTGTTTCTCTCAGATTTAAAACAATTGACTAAAACCCCTTTACTTTCAATTACGAATCGTTTAATATTGTTCTGATGATAATAATAGTATTATTGCTTTTTAAAATAGTTTATATATAAAAAAAAACTAAATATGATTTTTTTTAAAACATAACATAGCCCAGTGCATACTTTGATATTATTATAGTGCTAAGTAAAATTATACACGAAAGTGGCATCAACGTTAATGGAGCTGCTAATGAAGCGAAACTGAACGCCTGAGGTAGGACGATATCTGACGCCTAGTGTCCTTGCGATTATTCAGTATATTATTGTTTAGGCAGTTTTCGCTCGTAACATAATAAATAAAATATTATTAAAATTCTTGTAATATAAGAACTAAATTAACATTAAAAAAAAGACACTTGAATATGATTATTCAAAAGCTTTAAAAAATTATTGTTTAATTTAAAAGTAATTATTTTATCATCAGAGTTTAAAATCGCACTGTTCCAGATCGTGTAGCTCTGCGTAAAATTATTTATTAAAATAATAATTATCTCTAAGTATATATTTAAAGAGGCTCATAATATGCGAGTTTTATCATTGTATTAATCATTTTATAGAATTTTTAGATTTAGGCTAGGCTTACAGAATTTGACTAAAGGTTGTAGATTGAGTTGTCTGAATTTAAATTTTGGAGCTCGTGAGTTATTGTTTTAGTAAGCCCTTATGGTTAAGTATTTTTTATCTTGATACAATTATTTATCGTTATCTGTACTCTTTGTATGTCTTTGAAAAAAAAATTGAGTATATTTTTCAAAGTTCAAACATGGCTTAAAATAGTCATTTCAGTGTTATATTTTTAATTTTATAAATACTGATTTCCATGTTGCAGGCAATAAGCATGATAGCAATATATCTTATTGTATTGCTGCAGTTCAAGATTTCTTTGCCCAAGGACTCATCAACAGCCAATTAACTTTTAGCGCGAAGAAACAAACTTTTTATATAAAATACCTATAATAATAAGCTTAGGTTAAGCACTATAAACAAAACACGAGATACTTTACTAAAATGAGACGTTAATAATTTAGCAGATATGCTATTCGCTACTGCGAATAATACCAGAGATTATACCTGTGTATCACTTTACCTTTTCATATTAATAAATAATAACATGTACAATGTACATATCGTAATGAACCTTCGTAGTTAATTTTTCGCAAAAGCTTTTCAGTGCCGAGATACGAAATTAAGAAAACCTTATAACAAAAAAATGATTTTAAAATTAAGATTGTAGTTTAGGTATTATTTTTTATTAAGAAGCCTATATTTACATACGTATAAATAAAATGTAATAAAATGATGAAACGTTTCAATATATTATTTTCCTCCATTCTACATCTAGTTATACAATTTGTAGTAATTAGTAAGTCCAGAGGAGTTTTTGCAGTACTTATTATGAAATAATTGAATTATCTAGTATTAGTTTATATATAATATAATAATAACACAACAATACAAGGACCCACATATTTATATTCCACTTGGACTTTCCATATAAACGGTCTTTGTCCGCGAGAGTGTCGTTAATACGCTTTTACTCGAGCGGTAATTTCTTGTTCTTTAAGTTTGTTGTTAAAATTAATCTTAATATTGAAGTACTTTAATAAAATCTTGTTAGTTTAAAGTTTATATCAAATAAGTTTAATCGTGAACATTTCAACTGGTGGAAAGTCTGATAATATAATTTTCTATTACGTACTATAATTTTATTAAGCAATAACTTTCTATTATCCACTTTTAATCGAAATTTATTGTTTAAGCCAAAAGTTTGTCATTACTATCACTTTAAATAAAAATTTGGGGCCTTATCATGTACATGCCTTAATTTGTGAGAAGGATTTTATCTCGTTATATTAAAAAATAGAGCTGTTGCTACTTAGATGTATTGTACTTATAATTAAGAACTTTCATTAAAGGTATCGTTTTTTAATTAATAAACGAATTAAGTGTAAACGCATTTTACATCATTCGACCACGAAATATTTTCATACTTTTTATATTAATAATAATTTTTCCTTATAATTCAAATGGATAAATTTTTTTTATTTGTGTCCATATTTATAATTGAGGACAATTTTCCTTCGTGTAATGTCATTATTTAAACTTTTAGCCATGACTTAAATAAGTAAAATGAATTATCCCTAAATCAACATTATTTAAAATGTAAATTAAAAGGAAATAATCTAAAATACCAATTCCGCTTATTTCTTAGTCGTATTTTGCTATCATGTCTCGCCAATGCCTCGATCGCTATCGCCTACTATCCGTCCCAAGATTTTCTGACAGCCACAATGGGGATTCATTAATCAACTTTTCCAATTTTAAACGAACTTGCTCTTATCTGTGAATTATTAATATTTCCCGTAAATATTTTAATTTTACGCAAATTTTGCTCTTAACAAAAAATGGAATACGCATTTCAAAATCCAAGTATATTTTAACTAATTTTTAATTATATAATATTTTATAATAAGTATGTTTTATCATTTTATTTCAAAATTATATACACGTAACGTAACTATATATAAATTCTTCTTTACATTTTTTTATTCAGTGTTAATTATAATTAAAATTCACCGCTTAGTTATTTATTTCTTACATCACAAATAATATAATACCGTATTAGTACTCATATTTATGCTATCGATATTTAAAGAATGAAAATAAAAACATGAAGTAGGTAATTATTATACCATAAGTTTGTTGTTTAAGTAGAAACTTCATAGTAAAATGTTTATATGAGTGTTCAAACTAAAAGATTACGAGTTGGAACGTGCAGAAAATAGTGGTTGAAGCCTGAAATCGTATTATCATAAGCTTTTATATAATACGATACCTGCCGTTGTGCTACATATTATTGACATCTATATTAAAATAAAACAGTAGAGGTCGAATGTCTGTACATATCAAAAAAATGCTAGAAACCGAGCCAGGGGGATGTAAGAATACAAATAGAACAAATCCAGATTTTTTCAAATTTTTGTTTCTCTGTCTGTTTGTCTGTTTGTACGGGCTAATCTCCGAATCTGTTGGACCGATTTAAATGAAATTTTGCATGGTGGTACCTTATATTCCCGGGCAACATCTTAGATATTTTTTATCCCGGAAAATTAAATAGTTCCCGTGGGATAGTTAAAAAACTATATATATATATATATATATATATATATATATATATAACTTATACAGCTTAGTACACAAAAACTACTAATTAGATTTTAATAAAACTTTACAATAATATAGTTCATATATAACGATAACAAATCGGTCACTTTTTATCCCGGAAAAATGTGCGGTTCCCGTAGGATAGATGTTTTCGTTTATTTGTAACGTATTATGTACACAACATAGACCCCAAAACAATAATTATTAAAAAAATTGTCTGTGTATCCGTTTGCCTGTATGTCTGTTTGTCTGTTTTTGTGTGCGCGTTTCACGCGAAATTAATGAACTGATTTCAACAAAATTTGGTGAAGCGATAACTTATTACTCGAGTCAACGTTTAGGATACCTTTTACTTCAAGAAAATCTTTCTTTCTCACGGGAAGATACAATAACTGGTTTTATCGAGTCGTCCCTAGAAACCTTCCACTGGCTTAACCTTAAGACATACATACATCAAAACAATATATACTACTAAAAAAATGTAGGTCTTGAAAAGTCCTACAGGAAAGTCCTGAATAGTATATGTATATCTCCTAAGCAATATCTATTCTTATCTATACCTATGATAAAACTAACTTTGTCAAATCGATGTGCGCGTTTCACGCAAAAAGTACTCAACCGATTTTAATTAAATTCTGTATAGTAGTAACTTAGTACTCGGGTCAACATTTAGGATACCTTTTACGACAGGCAAATTATTCATTTTCACGGGAAAACACAATAACTGGTTTTATCAAATTGTCCTTAGAAATTTATATGGCTAACGCTGGCTCAACCTTAAGAGATAGATCAAAACATTGTACAAGAAAATTGTAAGTCTTAAAAAGGTCTATAGAAAAGTTCTCAATAGTATATGTCTACGCTATAACTATTTTCATTATTATATATTACTGTTTCATTATACGTTATTTATTCTATGAATAAATATAATAAAACAGTAGAGGTCGAATGTCTGTACATAGAAAAAAATGCTAAAAACCGAGTCAGTTAATTTCTTACATCCCGTAAGGAGAAAAATAGAACAAATCCAGAGTTTTTTCTATGTTTTTGTTTCTCTGTCTGTTTGCCTGTTTGTACGGGCTAATCTCCGAAACTATTGGACCGACTTAAATGAAATGTTGCGTGGTCGTACTTTATATCCCCGGTCAACATGTAAGATACTTTTCATTCCGAAAAATTAAAGAGTTAATTGTGGGTAATTGTGGGTAGGCTGTCCGTAACAACTATACCTTCGAGACATGTAACACCTGAGTCTCTCCCGTGACCATGAATGCTGTAAAGCATTCGAAACGTCGGGAACCAAAAATCAAAATACATCCGCGAAGCAATCCGAAAAGATAGTTTTATTTAAAATGTCAAATATTCGCGTAAGTCTAGGAAAGTATTATCTTAGATACTTTTCATCCCAGAAAATTAAAGAGTTCGCGTGGGATAGCTAAAAAACTATAGTATCTTATACAGCTTAGTACACAACAACTTATGCACCTAATTTAGTAACATTTAACATTCTGATACCTTATATTGCCGGTCAAACAACAGTTTACCATTTATCCCGGGAAAATAAACGGTTCCCGTGGGACCTAATAGATCTCTATCAGTGTTTTTCTAGAGGCGAACCCGAGCGAAGCGAGGGTAGAGCCACTAGTTATGCAATAAAAAGCAAAATAAACAAAATAAAATTTAAAATTTCATCATTTATATAAAAGAGATCAAAATATAATTTTAAATATATTTATTGATATGTTTTCTTGCTGTACTTTAAGTTTCTAAAATTACTATGATTAATATTTACAAAGCACAATTTTACAAATAAGTTTCAATTATGCACAGAGAATTGCTACGACGTAGCTCGTAGCACGCAATAAATAAAGTAGCTACGACATTTAACTTTTATATGTACATGGGGCATGATTATAAAACTCCGATTGATTGAAAATCGAAACCCATTTTATTCAAAATCGTTTGGGTTAGTATCCATTATTTTATTTATGTAGTACTTTCTGTATCTGTTTGTTACAAAAATTTATATTTTATAGGCAAAGTACCTAATGTAACGGATCTTGTAGATTCAATTTTTTTTTAATTTTTTACATTTTAGTGCCTGGAATTGGGTTTTTTTTTAGTTTTTATTTTTCCATTCTTAGTGTAGACGATTAGTAGGTAATTTGTAAGAAAAAAGTTTTTTTTAATAACATATTCGATTGAGCAATTTATTTAAAAAATAATTTATTGTTGATTTTTTAAAAACTGCTCGATCGATTTTGATAAAATTTAAATGGGACCACCTGGGAAGTATACCCTTCGGAACAGAATAATATTTCTAAATCGGTTCAGGCATCTTCGAGTAATCGGTGAACATACATAAAAAAAAGATTCCGACGAATTGCGAACCTCCTCCTTTTTGGATGTCGGTTAAAAAGAGAATCTTAATGACAATAAATTGAAAGCAGGTAGTAGAGACAGAAATTGAATATGTTAAATGGGATTACGAAAAGTTAGACTACTACATGGTACAACTTTCTAGAACCCTTGAATGTTCGATGCATGAACTTTATCTTTTAGTTAATATAACTTTTGTACGTGGCACTGTCAGTTACATTCAATTTAAATTGCAGAGTTAATAAATCAGAATGATGTTATTAAGTTAGAAAGTAATACCAGTATGTGCAACTAAAATATAAAAGTTGACAATAATTTCATTCATGTAAATAAACAAAACTGTCTTGCTATATACATAAGCCCTAA